ACTTACATGGTTCCAAATAGATGGATAATGTCAGCGTACTCACGAGATTCTCACGATGATCTGAAACTATCGATTGGCTTAAATTACATTGTAGGTGACTGCACGATCATAACTGGAGACATTTATTGTAGAATAATATAGTAAATGCATGTATTGTGATACACGCATAAAAACAATCTGTCAGCAGCTGGTTCACATCCTGGAATTTATTTAGCGTGGCTGTGATAAAAACTTTTCCAAGTTATAATGATTTATAGTTCTCGAAACCAGGATCTTAATCATTTGGGTTATTGATGGACTTTCAAACATCGACTATGAAACCTTTGCTATTTGGCTTGTCATTTGATATACCTTCGAGTATGAGGTTCCGTGCAGGAAGCAGAGTACTCTTATTATAAGTCTTTATGATCCCCAGAGAGGTGGCCTTTTGTCGTTGCAGGTTTTTGTTTTGGACTGTTGTAAAGAATTTTGTCAAGAACAAATATGTGGATGACAACTTGATTTAAATATACCCTGTGTATGTAGGTACTTGCGTTCATATTGAACAACTTGGGCTCGTCGGTATATCAGTGACTGAATTTAGTTTTACGCCACTTTTAGTAATATCCCAGCAAAATCATGGCGGTGGACACCAGAAATGGGTTTCTGACACTGTATCCATGTGGAGAATCGAACTCGGGACCCCGGTGTGATGAGCGAACACTTTAATCACAAGACCACCCCAGCGCCCCTCGTCAGTATATGAAGATAATGCTGATGCAATGTGAACTGGCTCGCTCACTTTTTTCGAGTATTTTCCCCGTTACCGAGTGTGTGGTTGATGTTTTTAATGCTTGCTAAGCAGACTGAACATGAATACTGTATTCCCCATACAGATGGCCACATTTTATGTACAGAATGCAGTCTAACTGCATGGCAAAAAGGTATGCTCAAGGGTCAAAGTATGAAATCTGCTCTTACCATTTTTTGTGTGTGAAAGAAGTTACATAGAACCGAATCGAAGTGAGTTATGTTTTAGCCATATGCTCATTATACATGAGTAAGAGGTTATGTTTTTATAAAGAGTTCGAAAATATATTTCTTACTCCACACACCAGCAGCGTTCTCTGATTTCACTTGATACAATGTTCATTTATACCGTGTGTCGCCCTTGCCTGATGCATGTCTTCTCACAGACAATGTATGTGCACCAAATTTCGTCACGAATTGATGTCTAAGGGTTTCCATGACGAACGTTATATTGAACTCTTGTACACTTCAACAGTGAATGAGTTCGGTTTTACGTTGCTTTTAGCAACATACCACCAACAATCACCAAAACTGGCTTCACAAGTGCGCTTCGCGGCATGATACGTCGTCATAGGATACGGCTCATTGTTCCCAGAACAAGACTATTTATTAGCGTTTCTCTTAATTTTCATTAAAGAAGGATTTAATTACATTAACGTGAGCTTCTATTTCTCAAATCTATAATTCAATGTCCATGTTTTCTCTAAATACGTTAACATGTTTATTTGACAATGAACATTGAATTAGTATTCCAGATCGAAAACCGAGGACAAGGACAGTTACGTCTTCTTTTTTCATTAAGGAAGGATTACTTCAACATGAGCTTCTGTTTCACAAATCAGCGTCCGTGTTTTCTAAATATACGTTAACATATTGCTTCGACAGAAAACATAGAATGAGTATTCTGGATCGAAAAAAGAACCTGGTAGTCCAAACGAGTGGGTGAGCTGGGTTTTAGCTTTCAGCAATATCACGCGGTGGACACCAGAAATGGACTTCACACACTGTAGCCATGTGGGGATTCGAACCTTGTCTTTGCGTAACGTGCCGAGCAAATGTCATAGGTTCTTCTCTTGAATTGGTTTTCATATTTTGTCTCTGGAATAATGTATATAAACATTAAGAAGTTGGGGTCATTTGTTGTGAATGAGATAGAAACTGTGATGACCTTAAAAGCCCTGATGTAATTTGGTATACAGTCCTTGGGAAGATGAGGCAGCTGTTGACTTCATTGGGTTGTTTCTGGTCTTAAGAAGCGACTAAATTAACCTTGTAGTCCGTCAGTCAGTGAGTTAAAATTTTGCATCGCATCGGCAATATTGCAGCCAAATCGCGATGTGAACAAGTTAGTTATTATTAAGTACATGTCGTCAAAGGACAATAAAACAGTAAGGTAAGTATCACAGTTGTATAAAAGCAAATATGTCAATATTACAAACATACAATGTTTCAATACATTATGTGGAATACATTATAACAAGGCTATAGACCAACGAGATCGATTGGTCAGATTCGCTGAGCCGACATGGTTGGCATTTGTCATCGTGTCTCAATTGCATTTTTTAAGAAACCATTTGTTTAAAAGGTTTCCTATCTATGATTACATATAAACATTGTGCAAAATATGAGGCAAGTTACGCACACTTTTTCGTGAGTACTTGGCGACATTTCATAGTGATTCATAAACACGTGTTCATGGTCTATATGGTATCAGAACCAATTAAGAAGTGAATGCGCTGGTATTTATTGGCCATAAATCCTAAAAAGCATATGCTACCGTCATTACACAGCTGGATAAAAAAATTTAAAAGTGCACAAATGCATACATACCAGTCAGTGTTTACCTAAATCTTCGACATCCATGCACACACGCCAACCATTAATGCACAGAGTTATGAGGTGAATATTTCATCCCACAGCTGGGTGCTGCATTGCGAAACTGGAATTTAACGCAATAGAGATTCGTTAATGTTTAACCGATAGACGCCATTTCAAAAGATAGCAGCAAACTCTGTTCAAAAGAACATGCAATTAGTTTTTTACAAGGGTAAAGGAGTACTTGCCTATTCTGAACCGACATTTACGAGAGACAAATACTACTTTCTTTCATCTGTTAGAATGCATGCAGGAATCCTTTTGTCTGGCAGCATCAAATGAACCGAGGGTCCATACATATGGCGAGTAACACTGTGCGAGGATGGAAAGGGGAAGAGATATATTACTTTGAGTAAAACTAAACTGTATATAAGGGCATCATTTTTCATGTTTCACGTAGCCACCCAATTCTGAACATGGGTCGGTCGGTACGGACAGAAAAAACAAACCAAACCTAAATAAAGGCACAATTATCTGAATAATGTTCTTGATTCTCATTTATTGTATTTCTTATTACAATTTCTCGCGTTCTTTGGACTTGTGGCAGCGACTGATTATAAGATAAACATTTTATATGACGAGGCGGTACATTTTTGGTTCCAGTCGGCGGTGTTGGAATGAAAAAAAACAGTTTTTTGAGGGGAGACGGCATAAAATTAGAAGGGTCGGTCGGGCTATGAGAAACACAGGAAACAGAAATGCTGCCTTAAGTGTCTGTCATGGCAGTTGTTTGTAACTGGGGTTTGTTTTATTTTAACTTTTATTATGAATTTCCTACCCCAATATTGTCACAGCGTCACTTTACGCAGATCGATGCTCATACTGTTGATCACTAGATTGTCTGGTCCAGACTCCATTATTTACAACCCGTGAAGGTCCGGGTTCGAAAGAGCCTTCAGACCCATGCTTGTCGTAAGAGGCGACTAACGGGATCGGGTGATCAGGCTCGCTGGCTTGGTTGACACATGTCATCGGTTCCCAATTGTGTAGATCGATGCTCATGCTGTTGATCACTGGATTGTCTGTTCTCGAATATTTACAGACCGCCGCCATATAGCTGGAATATTGCTGAGTGCGGCGTAAAACTAAACTCACTCACTCACTCACTCGATTATTTACAGACCGCCGCCATATTGCTGGAACACTGTTGACTGCTCACTCACTCACGGTGTCACTGAGCATCTCTATGGTGGAAATTAGGCACTTAATGAATTCTCATTAAATCATCATTACTATTATTATATTTTGGTTTTTGCTCAAAATCAGTAAGTGTCCAGTGAATTCAGCAGCTCTGATTATTTGGGGATAATCCATGCCTAGGAAAGTCATGAAATAACAATCCGAAAATTAAAGCTGTGAAATAAATGAACATCCCCAGAGTAATGGGACAAATACAGCCACAATAACAGAATCTTGCCGGATTTACTGAAACTGAACCATGCCATTAGTCAGGAAGACTGACAGCTTGCACGCCAAACTAACAATGATGTAAATGACTGAGTGATTGTAGCAATCCGAAGACCAACGTCATAGTGTTTGATCGTATGATCTTGGGAGAGTGCTGCAGCTGTATCTACTATGCTTGAGAGTCTAATGGTCACAGGATTTAATTGCGTTTAGTTGAGTACAAGGTATTGGAGAAGTGTCCTTAAAGTAATCAGGGTCGCCTCCGTGGTGTAGTGGTTAGAGCGTCCGCCCGGGGAGGGGAAGGTCGCGGGTTCGTTCCCCGGTCACGTCATACCAGAAGACGTTACAATATGGTATTAGTCTTGTTCCCTGCCTGTCGGAGTTAATCAAATTACAGATAGTTGATGAAAAGTGAAATGGGGCATTGATGGTCCAATCGCCGCAATTCGCTCTGCAGACTTGCGTCCCTTGATCATTGGTTCCATTCCCGTCTCACCCCGTCTCATGCCTCCCGCGTACATTAGTAGGTAGTGAGGTAAAATTTAGAGTTACGTGGACACTACTCCAAGCAAATTGTGGTTGTAACAATATTAGGTGAGGTGAAATAGGGTTTAACATCGTACTTAAGAATAATTCGCTCACAAGACGACATGCATGCGCGTGTATGAGTGACTGTTTGTACTAGCCAAGACTTAAGCTGCTGTTATGGTGCTAGCCCAATGAGATACCATGCCGCAGTGAAGCATGAATACTAGGGGTGTCACGATACACCAACCTCACGATACGATACGTATCACGATTTTAAGGTCACGATACGATACGTATCGCGATACATAATTTTCGCGCCATTTTGCGGAAGGCTGCTAAAAGAGGGATATAAATCTGAGATACTTTACTAATAAATTCTTGTAACAAGCAAAACTAACAACTCAAGTCACAAGGTTCCCTTTAATATGCCCAACTTGACAGGTATTCTTGTCATCATTATCATCATGATTCATGATAAAATAAAATGTATCAATATTATCAGTGTAAATTTGGTAACTGTGGAAATAACACTTCCAGTTGTCTCCAGTTTCAAATTAAAAAAAAAGAATGATCTGTACCAGCAACTGGCAGCAAGTCTGTCAAGTATAAACTTTGAGTAAGTCACAAGTAATATCACTGATCTTATACTGTGTCACAAAAACACATAAAATGAAAAATAATACTTCCCAGTGCTAAGCAATCAGCTTAGTGTCAATTGACTCAATGGAAAACAGTTGTTAAATAATAAATATGCTTTATGTTCATGACAATTTACATGAACCAACTTAACTTTAAAAATTAAAAAGTAGTATAACCACCATCTCCAAATGTTTCTGTTTTGGTATTCTTCATCTATTTTCCTATGTCACATCACATCAAGTATAGAATAAATGCACTGAATATATTGCCCCAGCAAGTCAGTCAAGTCACAATTGTCACAAGTGACAAATGATAAACTGTTATCACAGCAGATAAATAAACTAATAAAAAAATAATCATCATTAGTATTTAATGATGAAACATTCAGCCTTAAGCCAGGCCTCCAGTGTCAGATTTGACAAAATCAACCAACAGTTATTTGAATTTTGTACTGCAACAGTTAACAGGATCATAATTCACAACACATTGTAATCATTCATCACATTGATCACTTCACTTCCTGAGGTTTTTCTTCAGGAAAATCAACATGTTGACGTTTTCAGGCCTCAGTGTAGCTCTCTGAGCTGTGACTATATCGCCTGCTGTTGAAAATACACGCTCACTTGGAACAGATGTTCCTGGCACACACAAAATGCATCTTGCTAATTTGGACAGCAAAGGAAATTTCTGTTCATTTTCCTGCCACCACTGTAATGGGTCTGAATTGAGGGGAATACAATCCTCAGCCTTGTAGGTGCTGACCTCTTCCTCTACCCTGGCATATGAGGACTTAGCTGTCTGCACATGAGTGACAAAGACATCACCGAATAGGTCATCCATTGCAGAGGTGTTTTCTTCCTTCACATCTGGTGTCACACTTTGTTTCAGATCACTGGCCTCAGGAAGTTGGGGCAGACCATCCTCTGGTTCCATGGACCCACTGGCTTCATCATTTTCAGTTTTCACCTCCACCTACAAAAATAAAAAGTTCCACACCACTAGACTGTAGCTTTATCATTTATCATTATACTTCACATTTGACAACCCAAATTAACTTTTTGTAACTTGTTGAAATCTTCAGATTCGAGGATTTGAGGTTGTCAGGTTCACTTTTTCTTTTTGGTGATGTTGATTTTGAGAAAATCTATAATATATGCATTTTAACAAATTAGAAATTATAAGAATGGCAAATAAAGCAAAAAAACATGTTTCTTGGAATGATGATTTAATATTTATATTGTTTAAATTGTAAGTTACATTACCTTGCCAGAATCAGAATCAGCCAGAGCTGCAGTCTTTGCAATAATGGCACCAAATACAGCAAGTCGTCTGGCATCATCAACATGAGGCAGAGAACGGAACCTTGGATCCATAGCTGACGCTTGAAGCAGCAGATCTTGCCCATCAATGTATCGCTTGGATATATCTTCTGATATTGCAGTCTTGACACTGCGTATGAAAGCTGAGTCAGTCTCTGCTGCTTGTGTCATGTTGAGGATTTTCTCCTTCAGTGGGAATATCAGGGATATAGTTGGGTGTTTCTCATCACACAGGATAGTGGTAATAGTTTTCATGGGCTTGAGGATTCCCACAAGGTCTTCAGCATTGCATAGCTCAGTGTCTGACAAACCAAGATCCTTTTCAGTCTTTCGGACCTGTTTTGACATCAGGACAGCAAGGATAGCAGGTTGTTGTTCAATGAACCTATCAATCATATCAAAACTGCTGTTCCACCTCGTGCAGACATCTTGGATCAACTTATGCTCTGGCAGTTGCAACATTTTTTGTTTTTCTCTCAGCAGGGCAGTGGCAGTAGAACTACGGTGGAAGAAGCCGACAATTCGCCTGACTTTTGACAGAACTCTACACACTGTGTCGACTTTGAGACCTTTTTGGGATGCAAGATTGATTGTGTGAGCAAAACATTTCACATGTTTTAACCCGGCCTCTTTTACAGCGACTGTCATGTTGGCAGCATTATCTGTTACACAAACAACAGGTTCAGATCTCTCCAGTTTCCATTCCTTTACTGCATCAGACAGAATCTCTCCAACATTGGCTCCAGTGTGAGATTCATAAATGGCATTGGTTTGCAGAACATTGTTGACTAACTTCCAGTCACCTGAAATGTAGTGACATGTGACAGTTATGTAGCTCTCTGTGGCCCTTGACGTCCACCCATCTGTTGTTATAGCAACAGCTGTTGCTTTTCTCAGACCATTCTCCACTTCCATCTTGCATTCCTTGTACAGTTCAGGAACAACCTTTCCAGTAAAATATGTCCTCCCTGGCACATTGTATTTTGGTTCTAGAACTCTTAACAGTTCAACGAAAGAATCATTCTCCACTGTTGAAAATGGTCTCAGATCTATGGCAATAAACATCGCAATTTGTCGTGTGATGAGCTTGTGACGTTCGGAATTGAAAGCATAATGTGAAAAGGAGCCCAACGTTCTCTGTTCAAGTGTTCTCTTGAGTGGTTTCCTTTCAGAATCAATCTTGACAGTCGGGTGATGTCTAGTGAGGTGGACTTGCATGTTTGTCGTATTCCCACTATATCCAACCAATGTCTTGCAAATATGACACATTGTCTTTTCTCGACTCACTTTTCGTTGGCCATCCTCATAATAGACTGGGAAACAGAAATGTTTCCACACGTGAGACTTGAATTTACTCCCAGTGGGAGTCTCGAAATCTCTAGTTGAGAAATCCATGCACTCACTTCAGTTTTGTCACTCCCGCATCACAGCATTACCTTACCGGCAACATACGCGCTCGCTGATTGGTCCATCAAAATAATCTAGCCAATCACAAAAGCTGTTAGTTTCCAACCTATTTTTTTAAGTAAAGCTAGCTACATCTATTTATCGGAGCAGTCTCGTATAATTTTACTATCAAGACATTGAAAGAGATGGATATAGCATAAAAATTTGAATCGATAAAGTTTTGAAATAGGAATCGATACACGCAAGCATGTATCGCGTATCGTATCGTCAGTAAGAATGTATCGATACATTGATACATTCGCGTATCGCGACACCCCTAATGAATACCCCACTCAGACACATTATACTGACTCCGAGCTGACCAGTCCTTGTTGTACCCATTCATGCCGAGCGCCAGGCAGGGACCAACAACTACCATATTTTAACGTCTTTGGTATGATTTGTCCGGGGATCGAACCCGCAACCTTCCGCTCTCCGGTCGGACGCTCTAACCACTACACCACGGAGGCGGTACTGTAACAATATTATTCATGTGTAGTAAATATCAAAGGATATAAAAGCTGCCAACAAAGGAGAGTGAAATAGCCAGAGTAGCCCAGAAATAAATAATTTGAAAACAGCATCAAACCTTAAAATATGACTAGTCATTATTGTACAGTTTAGGAATGAGCTACAAATCACCACCAACAAAGTTAGGGCACCATCACATCGATCGGACGCCCAGTGATATAACTGAGAACTGTCAAAGCAACGCTATCCTTACTCACTATAAACGTTTCTTCATAGGTCGCCTTTTCTTTTGCATTTAACTTTTACTGCGCTCTTGTTGAAAAGGAACCAGCTAATTGCTCGTACATGTAGCCTTTGGGAAGTTAATCTTTCATCCGGTTTGTTTTTATAATTTTAATACACATTAGTGTTGTAAGAACATTTTGAAAGAGCAGGTTTCTCGAGTCACCACTGTCGTTTTCTATTTTATATGTCCTAAACATTCTCTCAGAAGAGTTTAATGGTACGTAAAACAGCGTTGTCAGCATTTGGAATTGACCAACAAAATACATTACATTACATCGATCACAGAAAGCAGTGGCTTTAATCTGGCACGACGTAAATGGCTGAAGGTCGACAGTCTTGACAACTTCATCTTGAACGACGTTTTTAATCAAGATTAAAGTCACCATTACAAGGAACTTCATCAAAATGAATTATTAAATGTTAAGTACATATTTAGGCATTTGTTACCTAAGCCGGAGCCGAGTTGCTCGTGTTCTTGAAAACTTCTTAAAATCTCAAGTTTCCTTTTCAAGCTCAAAAAAGTCGTAGGAGATTCTTCGGATATGGAATTTCGTCAAGAGATTACATTGGGTGCATCAGACTAACCACTGAAATGTGGCTCACCAAAAACGTGGTCTCTGTAGCTTACTGACAACGCTCGCTGCTAGTGGAACACTCTCTTACCCAGAGTTCCATGCAGCCAGTATGGCACCTCTGCCACAGGCCAGAAAGATACATCTTACACAGTCCATTCAATATAATGTACATTTTTTCTTAACTCTTTTATTCACGACGAGTCTACACATCTAATTAAATATATGTGATATAATGGTTTAGTTTCACTGAGAAAATATCCTAAAACGTGTTACACTATTTCGATTTGCGCAGCGATCCTTTGTATACATAGGTTGTACGGCTCCACGTGCTGTCATCGAAGCCGACGGCGAGCAAACGATGCAGCCCGTTTGATAAATGTGGCCCCTCTTCGGTTCAGGCGATATACAACCTGGTCTGGGAACGATGTGATATAGCGTTTTCCTCCATGGATGGTTATCAACATAAGGCACAACAACTGGATCAGGAATGTACGTGATGTAGCGCTGACCATTAAGATTTTCCCTTACAGTCACCAATGTCATACTACAGTCAAGGAGACACATCCCCACACCATAACTGTACCTCCGCCAAAGGGAACAGGAAAATGAATGTTCCCAGAATGTGTTTATGTGCATCCAAACTCTCGGGCGACCCTCCATAACAAGTCTCCAGGTCCAAAGATTCCAGCGCCGTCGAGCAGAGCTTCACTACAGACTTTGCCTTTGTTGTTCATGAGTCAGCGTTGGACGCCCGATGACACTTCGAGACCTCGGACCATGAGTCTTGAGACAGTTATGAACGGTCGTGGTTGACAGACGCCTTTTGGGCACCCTAAATTGCTGCAACCGAGTGCTCATGGCGGAGGATTCACGCCTTATGTAAAGGGCCAGATTACTATCTTCAGCTGGCGTGGTTTCCTGGTTGCCCTTGCCTATTTTTGACAGCGCATGTCTCTGGTGTTTCTGGAGTCTACTGATGACAGAGTGGTAAACCAAGTTGACATGCTTGCTGTTTGCATATCCAGTATCTGACATCTCAGTCCCAACGAAAGTCTTCCATGCCATGTGGACGTGTATAGATGAAACGGGTGGCATATTCACAAGTTTTATACACTTAGACGGCCAGGCTAAGATACTGCTTTTCATGAAATGAGTGGGTAGCATGCTTCACATGAAAGTGGACTGAGTCTTGGCAAACCTTTTCAACTTTGTGTTTCATTACCTGAAATGTGCTATAAAACAATGGCTTCATTCGTGAAGATCCGGGGTAGAATAGGTCTTAAGCAACCCATGTGCTTGCCATAACAAGGCGACTATCTTGTCGTAAGAGGCGACTAACGGGATCGGGTGGTCAGTTTCGCTGACTTGGTTGACAAATGTCATCGGTTCCAAATTGCGCAGATCGATGCTCATGCTGTTGATCACTGGATTGTCTGGTCCAGACTCGATTATTTACAGACCGCCGCCATATAGCTGGAATATTGCTGAGTACGGCGTAAAACTAAACTCACTCACTCACTCACTCACATGTCATGATCATGGATGGCTACAACACTATGATGAACTATATTAGGAGCCGTGTTGATGTATCAGCCGACTTGACAAAAACCAAATCATACAAAGGACTGTACTTTTAACCGAGATTTCAGGTTCATGGAAATGTCTTTTGTTGTTCTTACTTAACGTCAGTAGTCTTTGTTCCCCTCCTTGCGAATTTGTTTCTTTATGCTTGATGTTTTGCTTTAGGTTCCTGTGTTTCTACGGTATGCTATGGACTTGCCTGTGTATGAGCTTTTGCTTTTAGAAGAGATTTCGACTGACTTTGAAAAGGGATTTGTCGGCTCTGTTCAACAGATAACACCAATATGGAGCGAATACCATGTGTTCCACGATGTGGTTCCCCGGGGACTTTCGAGTCAGTGAGAGACATCAACAGATGATACGGACTGATTACTGTGTTCAAAACGTGGGTGCGAAATGTGCACACTACACGGAATCCACGCTCAAATGTATGACTTTATTACCAGAATGTGAACAAGATGAATGTACACCTAGACACTGACAAACTACGACCATTATAAAGGCGGTGATAGCCTGTTTTGCAAGACATATTTGCTGCATTGGCAGTCCTGGGTCAATTTGACCCTATTGTATCATGTCACTGCAAATTTGTCGAACATTAAGACTATTGAAGGCAGAAATACGATATCTTGAATGATGTCATCTTACGTCGCCTTCACGGAGGCAATTATGTTACTTTTGTTTCAAACTCCTTTGAAGATACAGCAACTGATAGTCTCAGTTATTACATTCATATTATCAAACGATGAAATATTTCTCTAAAATTACAAACTCTCTTTAAAAATTAGTAATCTAGAAGTTCCATAGGACGTGATGCTTTGAAATATTTATCACTCGACTGATTCTTGCAACACTAATGAGTGAGTGAGTGAGTAAGTTAATATATAACGTCACATCGGCAATATTGCAGCCATATCGTGACGAAAACAAGCCATACAATAGAAAGTAGAAACATTTTGAAGATTAAAACCTTTCGACGATGGACAGTAAAAAGACTAGAGAATCACAGTTATAAGTATAAAACTAGCGCAAAGTTAAAATATTCCAATTAAAGAAGACAATACAATATAAAATACGGGCTATAGATCGCCAACAACCGAAGGTAGATCACCATACTAAGGCCCATGGGTGCAACACTAATGATACACACTGCAGGTTCCTATACTTTCAATACATACTTACTATCCAATTTGACTGACATATTTGTTTAACTAGCAAATGAGATTTATTGGCCAGTAGCAGTAATATTCTGTAATTCTATAGCTTGGATTGAAAACTGAGTGCGTATGTGGAATATTCTGAAGACACGAAAGGGAATCTGAAATATACGTTTGTGATGGACTATTTATATATTCGAAATCTACTAAGATTGACTTTCATTCAACTGTAAAACATGAAATGCCGTGTGGTCATTTTTTTAATATGGTTCTGGATCCAATGACAGTGGCACAAACAGCTGCGTCTTATTCATTGGATCTATTTGGAAGGCTTAATATAGATTTGTAATAATTCTACGTGCAACTTTATTCATTATATTATTCTGGGTTAACTTAACTGTATCTAGTTTGGATATTGCGAGTTGAATCTGCAGCTCACTCACTCACTCACCCAGGCACCCACCCACTCACTAAGTTGAATCTGGCTCACTCACTCACTCACCCAGGCACCCACCCACTCACTCATAACAGGGAAAGTCAAATGCTGAGATGGATATTGTCAGGTGAATATTAAAAACCGACTGGCCAGGATATTTCCTTACTTTAAGTTTATCAACCGCACGCATCTGCATACGGTGGCAAACAGCAGCCATATGCAGTGTTAGGTTGATTAGAATAGGGTTTTTGTGAGACATATATCAAAGGTAATATTATTAGATGTTTTTCAGTGATAGCTCATCAGCCTTTACATGTAAAACCTCAGACCTTGTTAATGGTAGCTTTTAGTACTTTACAATTACTCATAGATCCTCCTCATTGAGCCATAATCCAATTAAACGAGAATAACTGCCATGTGCAGTTGAAGTCGGGCTTAAGAACTACGCCCACTTTGAAATTAAACGATTTTCAACAAGTCAAATGCTGTTTTGACATTTAAAAGAA